CCGGGGCCGGGCGCGCGCGCGGGTCCCCAGCACATCTGGGCGAGACCGGCGCCGCTGGAACGGAGAGGGGCGCCGAGCGCCTGTCTGGAGCGGCAGAGCCACCGCGCAGCTGGGGCCCTTCGAGTCACTCCGGGCGCACATCTGGGACCCGAGAGGGAGCCTGGCCGCGCAGCTGGACCAGGGGAGGGGGCGGCGGCTGCACAGCTGGACCGAAGGGGGCGGGGTCGGTCCTGGGCGGCGAGCAAGGGGAGGGCCGCGAGTCGCCCGTGACCCGAGCATGGGACGGCGCGCCTGAAGGAGCAGGGGTGAGGAAGGGGCCTGGGACCCCGAAAGGAAAGAGAGTCGGGGCACGTGAGCCACGGAGGAGATGCAACTGACACGCTGCTGCTTCGTGTTCCTAGTGCAGGGCAGCCTCTATCTGGTGAGTGGTCCGCGGGGAGCTGCGCGGAGGGGCGGGGGCCCGGAGCACTGGGGGAGAGCGCGGGAAGCTTCTGAGCCCTGAAACTTTCTCCCTTCCCCCCAGCATCCCAGGATGGAGGGGCAGCCTGGAGGCTGGGGGAGAGGGCGGCTCCGAGGCCGGAGACTAGAGAAAGGGTTAATAGGGGCGGGGAGAGGCGCGGCGGGCCCACCCACACGGCTGCCGGTGGCGGGAGGTGTGACCAGCACGAGGGAAAAGGCCAGGTCGGGTCGCCGAGGGTTACTCGACCCCTTCCCGGCGCCCGGGACGCGCGGAGGAGGCGTGGGGGCTGGGGGAGGGAGTGATGAGCCGCTGCACTGGGGGTGTGGGCTCTGCCTGCCCTCGGGGGTCAGAGGGGCCGGGGTCTGGGTCCCCCGGCGCGCGGAGTGCGTCCCGGCGGGGGGCGGCCCCGCGTCCTTCCCTCCGGTCTTCCCTCCCACTCCCTCCCTCCCCGCCTGTTGTTTTCCTCTCCTCTCCCGGCAGCGCGCAGCCCGAGCCCCACAGGACCTGGGCCGGCGGCTCCCGCCCCGGGCGCTCGCGGCAGCTGAGCGGGGCTCCCAGAGCCGGCAACCGGCGCGCTCGCTCGCGGCTTCCTGGCGGCCCCGGACGCCGGGGAATCCCACCCCAGCCCCCAGCCCAGGGCTCAACTCCCCTCGGACCTCGCGCCTGCCAGCCGCTCCCAGCTCCTTGCCCCCCCTCCTGTCTTGGAGAAGCCTTAGCCTCACATCTGGATCTGTTCCTTCTCCAAAACAATCATCCCCGTTGCCCGCTCCCCTTGGCACTGCGTGGAAGAACCTTCCCACACCCCACCTGCGGCCCTTGCTCTGCAGCCTTTAGCTGTGACCCCCGCCACCAGCCCGTACAGACAGCTTTGCTACCTAGGAGCCCCCAGGAGCTTCCCTCCCCCAGTCCTTCTGCCCTATCCCTGGGCCTGCCGGCGGCCTCTGCATGTCTGGGGCATGGCCAGGCCAGAACAAGGGGCTCAGAGATCCCAAGCCCCTTCCGAGTCCCCTAGACTACAGCCTCTTAGGCGACCCCAAGCTTTGCCCAGGGTTATTCCAGCAAATCCAGATGCTGCCTGGTTGTGAGCTGGTGCCCCACATACTGGGAACGCAGACTCAGAGGGCACTTGCTCCCTCAGAAGCCAGCACACACACAGCAGGAGGGCCCCCCCACCTCCTCTGTGTGCCCCCCCCCGCCCTGTGCCCCCCCCTCCGTCTGTCGCTGGCCTGTGCCCCAGCTCAGTCAGGGTGTCCTGCTGGTCCTCTGCCAGGAAGTCGCATTCACCTTAGCGGATCCAGCAGAGGCTCTTGGGTTTTATAGGAGATGTGGGGTGGGAACGCAGTGCAGATAACACCCCCATGAAAGGACACATGTGAGACCAGAGTGTGTGGGGCGAGGGAGGGTGACCCTGTGTGACTTAGCTCTCTGCGATGAGCCCTGGTGCCCTCCTTTGTGAAATGGAACAAGAATTCCTGCTCCCTCTGCAAGTCAAGTCCTGTCCTGACGTCACCATCGCTGTCCCTGGGGAGTGTTTCCACCCCTGCGCCCCTCCCTCCCCAGGGGTGGCGCCCCTGCAGGCCTGCACAAACCTGAACCTCTGAACTTGGAAAAGCAGTCACTGAGCTATTTCCATGTCTGCTGGTTCTCCTGGCCTCTGAGGGTAGGGGGTGGAGTCTCCAAACAACCAGCAAGTCCCCAAAGCAGGGCTTCGACCTGTCCTGACAAACAGGGGCACTCCCAGTCGAGGGGTGGCACCCCCTGTCTGACTCTCCCCCAGCAACCTGGGGACTGCAGAGGCAGAGACTCTAGTGCTCCTGTAAGGGGAGGCTGGGTGGGGTGGAGTGGGGGGGGTTTCTGTGCCAGCCAGGGGATGTCTCTGCCATCAGATGGGGGCTCTCCCAAGAGCAGGAGCTTGGCCTCCCCATCAGACTGGGGGGGCAGGGTTGCCCCCCTGGTGCCGTGGTCCCTGGAGAGACTACCAGGCCATCCTCGCAGACTGCCTAGTAGCCAGAGGCAGGCCAGGAAGAGAGGGGGTGGCAGAAACTGAGCCTCAGCACACAAGCCGGGGCCACGAAAGCCCCCCACCCCCAGCCAAGCAGGCGACGTGAGGTGGCGAGCTCCCGGTGCAAACAGAGCGGAAGGGAACCAGGGAGAGATGATGCGGATTGGTGGGGAGCAGGGGGGCCCTCGGCGGTGGGGCTCTCACTCTCCCCCCAACTCACTCCATAGGTCATCTGTGGCCAAGATGATGGTCCCCCGGGTGCAGACGACCCTGAGCGTGATGACCGCGAGAGCCAGGCCCGGCCCCGGATGCCTCGGAAGCGGGGCCACCTCTCCCCTAAGTCCCGCTCTATGGCCAATGTCACCCTCTTAGGGCTCCTGGCTCCACCTGGGGAGGCATGGGGGAGCCTAGGGCAGCCCCCCAGCCGTCCAAACCACAGTCCCCCACCCTCGGCCAAGGTGAAGAAAATCTTTGGCTGGGGCGACTTCTACTCCAACATCAAGACGGTAGCGCTGAACCTGCTGGTCACTGGGAAGATCGTGGACCACGGCAACGGGACCTTCAGCGTCCACTTCCGGCACAACGCCACGGGCCAGGGCAACATCTCCATCAGCCTGGTGCCCCCCAGTAAAGCCGTCGAGTTCCACCAGGAGCAGCAGATCTTCATCGAAGCCAAGGCCTCCAAAATCTTCAACTGCCGGATGGAATGGGAGAAGGTGGAGCGGGGCCGCCGGACCTCGCTGTGCACCCACGACCCGGCCAAGACCTGCTCCCGAGACCACGCGCAGAGCTCGGCCACCTGGAGCTGCTCCCAGCCCTTCAAGGTCGTCTGCGTCTACATCGCCTTCTACAGCACGGACTACAGGCTGGTCCAGAAGGTGTGTCCCGATTACAACTACCACAGCGATACCCCCTACTACCCCTCCGGGTGACCCGGGGCAGGCCACGGCGGCCATGGCGGTCAGGGCTGGGAGGACAGTCTGCCCGGCAGGAGGCCATTCGTCTGGACATGGGCAGGGCAGGGGAGGACCTCAGGCAGGGAGGGGGTGGACAGGAGAGGTCATGTGGGGCCGGGACCAAGGCTCAAGTGGCCCCGGAGGGCCCCAGGTGCTGGCCGGGCCTGAGGCGGCGGCCCCGGGGGGCAGGAGCTCTGAAGGAGTTCCCTGTGCGGCTTTATGGGACTGGCGCACCCAGCGGCGGGCGGGCAGATGCTGGGCCCCCAGGCCCTTGGGTAGACAGACCAGGGTGACCCAGGTAAAGTCACCGGGAGGAGCTACAACCTGGGCTCCCTCCCTGCCATCCTGAGAAGGGACGCAGCAAGGAGAAGGGGGTTTCGTCAGCCTGGACACCAACTAGGCGCCGAAGCTGGGCTTTCTGGGAGCCGCCCTTGGGGTGGCAACGGGAAGAACTCTGCCGCCCTCCCACCGGGCAGCCCTCAGTCTCTTGTCCTGGAGGGGGGCTGAGACTCCAGCGCTGTCCCACGAGTCACTGATGTCTTGGCAACTAGACCCCTGCCTCTAGCCAGGCCACCCCTTTCCAGAAGTCCCTCTCATGCCATCGCCCCCCACCTCTACCCACCCTGGAGCTGGCAGGACACTGTCCTGAGACGCAGGACGGTGGTGGGTCTCCCAGCGCCACAGCCACGGGGATGCGCCCGTGTGCTGCCCCCTGCTGGCTCCTCCTGACCGCCCTTGTCCAGTGCGTCTCCCGTCAGGGCCTGGCTCGCCCAGGGGAGACGGTGCCTCCCTCGGGGCCCCGGGGCCTGGCAACTTAGAGCGGAGCGGCCACTGTGGAGGGGGAGCTGGCCCTGTTCTATAGTGTCTGTCTGTGATGGGGGAGTGGGGGGGGGGGGGACGGGAGGTTTTGTGAAATCATCTGAATGTCGAGTTCTGTGTGCAAAATCTTGTTCTTGGAGCAGGGAATAAAGCTTTCCCGTGGGGGCACTGGACTCCGAGCTGTGTGTGGGGAGGACTGGGGCCTGGCTCCGGTCAGCTTTCCTCAGAGGACACAGACTAGAGCTGCAGGGCGCCCCCTTTCGGAGTTGCCGGGAAGTTGGGCTGCCCCCAGGCCTGGTGCTGGCCCGGGTGGGGGCAGGGACTGCGTCTGCAAGAGCAGCTGGCCTAGGGGACGGTATGGCCTGGTGTGGCCTCCCGGGACCGCCATGCAGGTGACCCAGCGGGATTCGCGTTGTGCCTTGGGTGACTTCGTGCCTCTTCTTTCTTCTTCTCTATTTCTTCTTTCTGGGGGAGGGCCTGAGACCCTCTCTCTCAGTGGCCAGGTGCCGTGCGTCCCCTGGCCCAGGGGCCACCCTTGAGGACCATTGCCCTCAAACAGCCTCTAAGTTCCTCTCTGGCTCTGACTCCTCCCAATGGTGACTTCCACCTGCTTCTCTTGCCAAGAGTTCTTTCAGAGATCCAGCGGTGCTGGGTTTCAGTCTGGTGACACACCAGTGAGGCGATGGCCAGGCGGCCGGGGCAGGCAGGGCTGTGAACGCCGCCGCCATCCCTCCGCCCCAGCCAATAGGAGAGTAGGTGGCTGCCATGGGCACCTCACCTAGAAGTCAGCTGGCACTTTGGGGCTAAGCGAGGGAAAGAAGGGGGCCCGCTACTGAAGCCAGTGCCCTCTCGAGGTCATTCCAGGTCCCTCTCGTGGAAGGACAGCCCTGTGTCCCTAGCCCCCTTAGCCACACAGCCACCATAAGGAGAGCCCCAGCACAAGGGCGGGGATCTCGCCCTCACCCCAGCCTGGCTCCCCCGGCCCCGGGGCCTCAGCTCGGACCAGACTCTTGTGCTGAGAGCAGAGCAGGAGGGGCCTTAGCAGCCCCCTTGTTGTATGGAGTGACCCAGAAAGGGGACAGCTCACACTCCCGTGGCAGCCCCTCCCCCGGAAACACTGTCCTGAGCAGAGGCCGGGGACTGGGCCCCCCCACTCCAAGCCACGCGCTCCCTCCCCGCCCCGGGTCAGTGCTGAGTACAGAGCGGCCCAGGGGCTCAGGCCCTGCGAGGGGGCTGCATCGCCTCCGGCAGACGCCCCTGCCCCAGACACCAGCCAGAGCCCCGCCGTGGCCCTGCGGCCCCAGAGAGAAGAGGAGGGCAGTGCTGACTGCCAGCAGGGCCCGGGGGCACTGTGACCCGCCCGCTGGCGCCTCTCCACCCGCAGAGAGCCAGATGCCGCTGACAGCTGGAGGGCCAGCCTGCCTGGCACAGGGCCTGCCCGTGCGGGCGCGGGTTCACTTTAATAACTTCACTTCGCCCTCACGCACACTCCACCCTCACCCCCACTCCACCCTCACCCCCTTGCTGCCTCCCGTAACCTGCGCTCTTCTCAGCTGGAATCTTGCTAACAGATTTCCTCCCGAATCATAATTCTTTCGGACCAGCCCTCCGGGCCCTGCTCTCGCCATGGCCAGACGCTGCCTGCCGCCCCCTTCGTCCTCGGAGGCGAGGGGCCAACCGCCTCTGGTTGCCCAGGCTCCGCTCCCACCTCCGCTCCCGGGTGAGCAGTGCCTCACAGCTCCTCTCCCCCCACCCCGCCCAGAGCTGGACCCCAAAGCCCTTCCGCTCTCCAGACACTCCCAGGAGAGCGAGTCCTCTGGAAGGAGCCGGTCTCTGCGCCCAGCGAGAGGTGGCGGCCTTCAGGGCCTCTGACCTCTCAGAACATCAGGGCCTGGCAGCAGGCCCCGTGGTCCTGCCCCAGGGCCAGGCACCTTGTCTCCCTCATGTGAATGGGGCCTCTGGGCAAGCCAGCCAGCTTGGGGCTCTTTGGGAACACGGCTCTGTATCTCCCCACAGGACTGAGGCCCCCAAGAGCCAGGGCCTCTACCTCCTCATTAGACTGGAGCATCCCCAGGGGCAAAAACTGCAGGGGGGATTTGTTCTTTTCCAGGTGTCAAATACCTGGAGGCCACCTCTGCCCTTGGCCCTGGCTGAGGAGCTCAGTGCCCCACCTGGGGAAGACAGCCCCTGTGGCTGTGAGGGCCACTGGCACTTCCTCCTGATGAAGCCTAAGGCTAAAGCAAGCGGTGTCTGGGTCCTTCCTCCTCTTCTCTCCTCCCCCCCCCCCATATTTTCCTTCCCCAGGATGAGCAAGCGGGAACTGAGTCACCCCGTCCCCATCCTTGGCAGGCATGCTGGTGACCTTGCATGCGACACCTCCTGTGGCGAGGCCTTGCGCAGAGATGCATGAGGTGGGTGGGCAGGGAGGGAGGGTTTGCATGGGGTGGAGGCAGCTGAAGGTCAAGGGTGACCACAGCCTGGACCATCCTGTGGGCCTGTGTGGGGCCTGTAGCAGACACAGTGAGCCGGCTGCTCCGTGTTGGGAAGTGAGCCAATGTCATGACTGGGAGTGGGAGAGAAATGTTACTTCCGAAGACTCTGAGTCCCGCGGCACTGCCAGGAGAGCTGGGGGCTGGGGTGACGGGTGCAGGGAGGCAAAGGCAAGCTTGGGTGGGGGCGGTACCTGCTGATTGTGCCAAAGCCCTGGAGTAACAGCTGCCACCGTCACCAAGGCACAAATGCCAGAGGAGACCTGGCGTCCAGAAGTTGGGGGCTGGGTTCTGATTCCTCGGGGCCCTGGTTTGCTTTTGACCGGCCAATTGAAGGGCTGACCGGTTACCCGGGCAAAAGACGCCTGTTCAAAGCCTCCAGCTTTATCATCTCAGAGCCACCCCCCCCCCAGGTGCTCCCAGAGGACAAGCTGGCATCTCCTGAACTGCAGAGGCTGCCAATGAAAGGCCACACGGGTGTGCAGGAATGTTTCTGGGTGCCCATCCCGGGCCTGGGGTTTGCTAGCTGGGCGGGCCTGAGCAGACGGCATAACCTTCTAAGGCTTCTTAGTGGAAAAGCAAACATCTATCGTATATACCTTGGAGCGTTCTTGGGGGAATTAAGTGATTTGCTCAACGGATGTTACTTTCTGCTCTTGTTTTTGGAGGTGGCTTTAGGTTAATGTCAGCCTGCTCCTGGTGTGGTCAGGTGAAAGGGTCCCGGCAGGATGGAGTCAGAGACTTGGGTTCCTGTCCTGAGGTAGAGGCAACTGGTTGTAATATCCATCTCCCCTTCCCCCACAGTAATGGAGTTCTCCACTCTTAGCTGGGAGCAAGGCTCCCCACGATGCATGTCTCTTGCACCTAGGCCCACGTGACTAAGATCTGGCGGTGACATGTAGATTACAGAGCTATCTAGCAACTTCCGGAGCTCTTGAGAGAGTGTCTGTGTGCCCTTTATGCCTTTGCCTGCTTCTGCCCTCATTCTTTTTATGGCCCAACCTCCATCCTGCCGTGGCTGGGGCTCTAGCTGCCAGCTCAGACCCTGGGGTAGGAGCCACACCCTGGAAGGGGCAGTGCAGTGATCTAGAAGAAATCTTGGCCCCTAGAAATTTGTGGAATAGAAATATCATTTAGCACCCCAAGTCTGCCTACCTATAGACTTCAGGGAAAAATCAAACGCCTATCTTATTTCTGTCGAATGTCTCCATTTCTGGTGGTTAAATCTAGCTCCACCAGATTCGATAATGCTGGGCACCCCGGCCTCCTCATCTGCAGGCACGAGGTAGCACCCACATATCTGGTCACACGTCATGGAAGGTCTGTGGACTCACAGGCAAGAACGAACGTGGGAAGCTCTGGGGCCCCTTTCGCCACAGGGAGGCACGCAGCCCCCATTCTGGGGGGTGGAACAAGTTGCTGCTGCATTGCAGTGGGCCCAGGAGGGCTCAGAGGGATTCTCTACTCATCTGAAAGGCCTCCGGTCCCCGAATTCAGCCGGCACGCCTGAGTCCCCATCCACAGGCTGATGTTGGTGACACACAATCCTCGTTAAGGGCCTGACTGATCCCAGCCAGATGGGATTCTAATTTAATTAAAACCCTTTAATTACCTGCAACAACACAGCTTTGGAAGTCCAATGCAGAAGGGGGCCTGTGACGGGAGGGGCAGCGCTGACAGGCCAGGGCGGCGCTGCCTTGTCATCACTTGGGGAGCCAGGGCGGCCGGGCGTTTCTCCTACCCAGGTGGCCACAAAGGCACAGACAGAACGGAACAGCCAGGGTGGCCCAGGCTTCTGGCTTGTTCGACAGCCGAGCGGCGAGCGAGCAAAGCAGGCCCTGGGGAGCTGATACTGGGCTCTTGAACCCCAAGCTGTTCTTGTTGGTTCTGTGCTTTCCCTGAGAGCAGCAGGGGCTGCTGAAGCTCAGTCTCTGGGGAGGAGCAGGCTTGCCTCTAGTCCTGGGGCGCTGGCTTGGCGTGGGAGCGGGGCCAGCTCCGCAGCCACCAGGCAGGCCTGGTCCCTGGGCACAGGTCCCTTTGGGCGCCGTCCTGGGACATGGAAGGAAGTGACCGAGGTGCGCAGCCGAGGAACCTGTGGTTCTGGGGACTAGTGAGGAGTGCCCCTCCCCCGCCATGATGCTGGCCTCAGGGCTCCTCCCCATGAAGGCAGAAAGCAGCAGCTCGCCAGGCTGGCCGCCCAGCCCAGCAGGGACAGGCTCAGAAACCCTGTTTGTGAGCGGGGCTATTTTTAAGCCTTGTGGACTTCCTACGTTAATACCCTTCTGGTCTCTCTTAGCACTTATTCATTTAGCAAATATTGTTTAATAAAGCCGCTGAAAGTTCCAGCTGGTCTCCGTGTGCCAGATCTAAGGGAAGAGGTTCTGGTTTGCACTTGAGCCGTTGCCCTGAAGGAGACGGCCACTGGGGTCAGTAGGATGCGGTGGCTGGAGCTGAGGAAAGAGCAAGAGGAAAGAGAAACTGAAGGAGGACGAGCCACCCCCAAACGGTCTCCCCTTCCTTCTCTGCCCAAATGGAGGAGGCTCTGTAGCTCCCGCTGTTGAATAAACTCCCCGTACAT